ACTTCACTCCACCCACTCCATCCACTCCACTCCATCCACTCCACCCATGTGACTCCATCCAGTCTACCCACTCTTTTCTCCACTCCTCTCCACTCCATACCATTTTATTCCATTTGTCCCATCCACTCTTCACCCCACATGACTCCATACTTCATCCATTCCACTCTGCTCCATCCACTCCACTCCAACCCACTCACTCCACTCCATACCATACCATTCTACTCCACTCTGTTCACACGACTCCATTCATTCCACTCCACTCCACACTATTCCTCACCATTCCATCCACTCTACCCTACACCATTCCACTCCATTCTATTCCTTCCCACCCATCCTCTCCACCCTTTACAGTACCCATTCCACTTGATCCCACTCATTCCACTCAATTCAATCTATACTACTCCACACCATCCACTCCACTTCATATCATTCCACTCAACTCAACCTAAGTTGATTTGTGTTAATTCCATTCAATTCATTCATTTCAGATTGTATCAATTCATTTCAACTCAACTAAATTCAGTTAAATTCAATTCAGTTGTCTTCCACTGAGCACCTACTGCATGTCAGGTATAGCACTAGGCAGTGGGGGGAATGGAGCTAATAAATGCAGTCCCAGCCTTCAAGGAACTGGGAGCAGCTAACCCAGGGCTTGGCAAAAGGTAGAAACACAGGCAGATTTGCTGGCTGCATAAAGGCCGACGGGCAGCTGGCCTAAGCAGACCAATGGAGTTTGAAGCAATGAGGGCTATGGAGGCAGGGGAGGGCTGGGAAGTGGGGTGCTGAGGCAGGACGCTGCTTCCCTCTCCAGGTGTGCGCTATGGACAGCCTGCGACCAGTGAGACTTCAGAAGTGCCCTCAAGCAGTGGCGGCCCCTTAGTGACAGTGTCTACACCCCTGCACCAAGTGTCCCCCACGGGCCTGGAGCCCAGCCACAGCCTGCTGAGTACAGAAGCCAAGCTGGTGAGCATCCTGCCTGTAGGGAAAACCCAACCTATCTTTCCTTGGCAGGGAGATTCTGGAACAGTCCCCAGGGAGGCCCTGTCGGGACCCCGCCCCCACCCCCGACTCAGCTTGGCTTCCCCTCGTAGGTCTCAGCAGCTGGGGGCCCCCTCCCCCCTGTCAGCACCCTGACGGCACTGCACAGTTTGGAGCAGACATCCCCAGGCCTCAACCAGCAGCCCCAGAACCTCATCATGGCCTCACTTCCTGGGGTCATGACCATCGGGCCTGGTGAGCCTGCCTCCCTGGGTCCTACGTTCACCAACACAGGTGCCTCCACCCTGGTCATCGGTAAGCTGGAGGGGATGGGTGGGCACCTGGGTGGGAGGCTCATGGGGCAACTGCAGAATCCAGGAGCTGGAAGAGCCACTGGGACTCATTCATTCATTTGTTCACTCATTCATTCATTCATACAACGTGTATTTATCCAGTGCCTACTCTGGAGCAGGCACTGTGCTACATCAGTGATACCTGGGTGAACCAAACAGACCAAAATCTCAGCAACTCAAGCAGGGAGGCAGGCACTGAGCATAATACATCGATTCTGTGGTACCTCAGAAGGTGAGGGGTCTATGGGCAAATTACAGCAGGGTAAGGGAGACTGATGTTTTCTAAGTTTTTTGTTTTATGAAGAAAAATTAAGCCCAGAAAGCCTTTATTTGTAGGTACAAGGATGCAGAAGCCCAGTACATAAGATAGATAGGGAGCTGCTAGGAGAGGGGAGCAGAGAGCTAACCCCAGGGCCTTTGCACTGCTGTAGAACCCCAGGGCTCCAGGGAACCTCAGTTTGACGACTTTTGAACAAGTCACTGCCTGCCTCTCCCACTAGCCTAGATAAGGAGCTAAAGGCTCAAAGAGGGGGAATGAGTTGCCAGAGCCACTTAAATTAGTGGCAGGTCCCAGTGGAGGGCTGTTTCCTGACCACCCTGCCCCCTCCTCCAAACCACGGGCTCTGGGAAGGAGAGGTGGCGCCCTTGGGAGGTCCTGGGGGGTGATGGGATGTAACTGGGGGGCCCAGCTGATTCCCGCCCCTTCCACTCCAGGCCTGGCCTCCACGCAGGCACAGAGTGTGCCCGTCATCAACAGCATGGGCAGCAGCCTGACCACCCTGCAGCCCGTCCAGTTCTCCCAGCCGCTGCACCCTTCCTACCAGCAGCCGCTCATGCCGCCTGTGCAGAGCCATGTGACCCAGAGCCCCTTCATGGCCACCATGGCCCAGCTGCAGAGCCCCCACGGTGAGCACCCTGTGCCCCACACAGGGGGAGATGACGATAGAGGTTGGCTGTCAATGGATGCAGGGGAAGGGGGTGCCTGGCAGGCGTTGCAGTCTGAGTGTGTCTCCAGGACAAGTGTGTTTCCGTGACTGAGGGTGTCTGCAGGCCACAGTGTGTTCCCATGTGAATGCACGTATCTGTGTGTGTGTGCACATGACTGCTTGTGTGAGCAGATCCCTAGTGCATGTCTAGGTGTGTGTCAGTTATGCATGCGTTTGTGTGTGCGTGCCTGTGTTTCTCTAAAACTCTTAGGGCCATATGAATTTCTAAAATCTATTCAGACTTTAGAAAGGTAATCTGGGGCCAGGTGTGGTGGCTCACAGCTGTAATCCCAGCACTTTGGGAGGCCGAGGTGGGCGGCTCACTTGAGGTCAGGAGTTCGAGGCCAGCCTGGCCAACACGGTGAAACCCCGTCTCTACTAAAAGTACAAAAATTAGCCAGGCGTGGAGGCACGTGCCTGTAGTCCCAGCTACTTGGGAGGCTGAGGCAGGACAATCGCTTGAACCCAGGAGGCAGAGGTTGCAGTGAGCTGAGATTGTGCCACTGCACTCCAGCCTGGGCAACAAAGTGAGACTCTGCCAAAAAAAAAAAGAAAAAAAAAGAAAAGAAAAGGAAGGTAATTTGGTGGATATGCCAGCTATCACATAACACTCCTAGCAGGGTTTGAGACAGCCCACTGTGATCAAAGCACTGCTATTTCTGCAGCCAAAGTAGGATTTCTACAAGGCAGTTTAAACACTCATAACCTCATGTCAGGTTCAGGCTGGGTTTTGCCACCAAATGAGCTCTAGTGCCAATCTTAAGGAAATCTTTTGGTTTCAGACTTTTTTGGAATTTGGGACTGGGTTAAAGAGATTTTGGGTCTGTATGTGTACGTGGTTGAGAATGTATGTGTGTGTGTTACGTTTTTGTCTGAGTCACTGTGAGAATATGTGGTTTATGTGAGTTTTCCTAGCGTCTGTGTGTCTCCTGCGGGGTGGGGGGAGGTGCTGTAGGCAAAACATGGGGTTTTATTTGGAGAGGTGGCCTGGAGATGGAGGTACTGCTGTCCTCTGCCTTGCTCTTTGACAGGGGCCACCTGAACTTAGTACACAGCACCTGTGCTTAGTACATGGCACTTGTGCTTAGTACATAGCACCTGCATTTAGTACAGTAGCACCTGCGCTTAGTACGTAGCACCTGTGCTTAGTACAGTAGCCCTGCACCCACGCCTCCCGTTCCCTTTCATACCTGCTGTCTCCAGGTGACACAAGCTGGAGTTGGTTTCTGGCCTCCTCCAGGCTCCCCTGCATCAATCCCAGCTGAGCAGTTCCCTGTGATGGGGAGAGGGTCTGTCCCTCTATCTGGAGCCCCCAGTTTTGAAAATCAGTCCTGGATCTCCAATTGCTGCCCAGTCTGGTTGTTCAGCAGGCTCCATGCCCCCCTTTCCCCGGTCCTGAGGCCTGGGACGGGGGCTGTCAGGCACGTCTGCCACGTCTGCCCCTCTCTCCCCTGCGGCCAGCCCTCTACAGCCACAAGCCCGAGGTGGCCCAGTACACCCACACGGGCCTGCTCCCGCAGACTATGCTCATCACTGACACCACCAACCTGAGCGCCCTGGCCAGCCTCACGCCTACCAAGCAGGTAAGGTCCAGGCCTGCTGGCCCTCCCTTGGCCTGTGACAGAGCCCCTCACCCCCACATCCCCGGGACTCAGGAGGCTGCTCTGCTCCCCCAGGTCTTCACCTCAGACACTGAGGCCTCCAGTGAGTCCGGGCTTCACACGCCGGCCTCTCAGGCCACCACCCTCCACGTCCCCAGCCAGGACCCAGCAGGCATCCAGCACCTGCAGCCAGCCCACCGGCTCAGCGCCAGCCCCACGGGTGAGAGGCCCTGGCTCCGCCCCCTCCCTTACTGTCTCCGCCCCCTTCCATGTCGGTCCCACCCCTTTTGTTGCTGTCCTGTCACTGTGGGACTGTGCATGCAGCAGGCCTAGGCCATGTGGGGAAGCACTGGCAGGCATGGGGGGTTGGGTGGGGTTCCCCGCCTCCCAGACATGGCCTGTGTGCCCATGAAGCCCAAGAGGCACAGGTGACCCCAGGAAGACAGGGTCCACCTTGCAAGAACATCTCAGGGGCTGGATTGAGGAAAAAGATGAAGTCATGATAAGGAGCAGGTCTGTGAGCCAGAAGCGACTCTTGCGCGTGTTTGGTTTGGCTTGGCTCAGGGTTGAACATTCTTTGAATTTATTGCCAACATTTCAAAATCAGGAATTTTCACATAGAAATCTGGATTTCTGGCATCTTTTGGGAAATTGGAAAAATTCATACTCCCATATAACAGCTCACCAGGCCTCACTGCATCCACTCACATCGGCTCCAATGACCCCTGGCGGTGGGGTGGTCGCCTGAGTTTGTAATCTATGATGTCATTATCAGGAGTGGGCACTTTGGAGTCAGGTGGCTGGGCTTTGCAGCCTGTCTTTTTGCAAACTGCCCCCTTTCTATAAGGTTCCTGGACCCGGCCCTGGCAGCTGTCGTGCCAGCCACCGAGGTCATTCTATGTCCTGGCATTCACCGCGTGAGGCATCTGCATGATCACCCCCATTTTACGGATGAGAAAGTGGACACTCAAGGAGGGGAGGGACTTGCCGCATCTCCCACAGCTACCAGATGGCAGGGCCAGGACTTGAACCCAGGTCCAACCTCAAAGCCCATTCTCTTAACCATGGCCATCAGTCAGGGCTCTCCAGGAACACAGAACCAGTGCATTTACCTGAAGGACTTGGCTCGTGTCTGCAGGGGCTGGCGGGCCTGAAATCTGTTGCTGGCAACTCCAGGGAGTGAATTCTGCAGCCTTGAGGCAGAATTCCTTCTTCTCTGGGAAACCGAGTTTTGCTCTTACGGCCTTCCACGGATGGAGGAGGCCCACCCATATTTTCAGAGTAACCTCCTTGACTCAAAGTCAACTGATTGTGGCATTCACCACATCTACAAAGCACCTGCATTCACAGCAGCGCCTAGATTAGCGTTTGGCTCAGCCTAGCCAAGCCAACATGTACAACTACCTACCCCGGCATCTCACCGGGGCTTCTCCAGCGTTCCCACTAAGAGGTACTGAGGCCACTCCCTGGGCGGCCCTGGACCCCGGCTGGCAGGCTCCCCTTGTTAAGAACCGAGGGTAGAAGTGTGACTTTGGGGTTCCTGTTGTCTGCTGTGATCCGGGAGGCGTGGCTCTGCCTCCTCATCCTGAGTACCCCTCGGGACGGGCAGGGGGGTGGGTGTGGGTGCCTGGCGGGTGGTCAGCAGCCTCGTTTGCCTCCGCAGTGTCCTCCAGCAGCCTGGTGCTGTACCAGAGCTCAGACTCCAGCAACGGCCACAGCCACCTGCTGCCGTCCAACCACAGCGTCATTGAGACCTTCATCTCCACGCAGATGGCCTCTTCCTCCCAGTAACCTCGGCACCTGGGCCCTGGGGCCTGTACTGCCTGCTTGGGGGGTGATGAGGGCAGCAGCCAGCCCTGCCTGAAGGACCTGAGCCTGCTGAGCTCCTGTGGCCCTTCCTGGACAGCTGTGCCTTGCTCCCCACTCTGCTGATGCATCAGAAACAGAGGGCTCCGAGGCGCCTCAACCCATGGAGGGCTGCTTGGGTTGCACAAGAGGGGCCATGGAGAGCTAGAAGCAAAGCCTGTTCCTGGCAGATGTAGGAGGGACTGTCCCTGCTGTGTGGGACACAATCTGCTTACTTGGAACAGAAGGGGGCGGCCTATGACTTGGGCACCCCCAACCTGGGCCTGTGGAGAGCCCCGGGACCGCTACATCACTCTGGCAGCCACACTTCTCAGGAAACAAGCCTGTGTAGCGGTGACCTGCTGAGCTCCGAGAGGCCCTGGATCAGCGTGGCCTTGTTCGGTCACCAATGCACCCACTGGGCCACTCCATCCTGCCCCAACTCCTTCCAGCTAGTGACCCACATGCCACTTGTACTGACCCGATCACCTACTCACACAGGCATTTCCTGGGGGGCTACTCTGGGCCAGAGCTTGGGGCTCCAATGCCCGAGCCCAGGGAGGCCGAAGCTAACAGGGAAGGCAGACAGAGCTCTCCCGGCTTCCCCTGTCCCCAGCGATTCCATCTCCCAGGCCCCATGACCTCCAGCTTTCCTGGGTATTTGTTCCCAAGAGCATCACGCCTCTGAGGCCAGCCTGGCCTCCTGCCTCTACTGGGAAGGCTGCTTCAGGGTTGGGAAGTTGTCCTTATTCCTGTGGGAGCCTCGCAACCCATGCCAAGTCTAGGTCCTGGTGGGGCAGCTCCTGTCTCGAGGGCCCTGCAGACCCTGCCCTTATTTGGGGCACGAGTAGCTGAGCTCAGAAGGCAGCAAGGCCTGAGCAGCTGAGCAAGGCCCAAGTGGCTGGCCAAGCTGAGGTGCCCAGAAGAAAGAGGTGACCCCAGGGCACAGGAGCTACCTCTGTGGACAGGACTAATCCTGGGGGTCTGGCTGGCTGAGGGCAGTTCGAAGCCACCCTGAGGAGTCCAAGGTCCTGAGCACTGCCAGGAGGGACAAAGGAGCCTGTGAACCCAGGGCAAGCATGGTCCCACATCCCTGGGCCTGCTGCTGAGAACCTGGCCCTCAATGCACCGCATCCACCCTGGGATTCAGGAAAAGGCCTGGGGTGACCCAGCACCCCCTGCAGCTTGTAGCCAGCTTGGGCGAGCGGCACGTTTATTTAACTTTTAGTAAAGCCAAGGAGAAATGCGGTGGTAATTTCTTGCTTGTCCACAAATCATTCAGATGGGGTTTGGGCAGGTAGAGGGAGGCTGGGGCAGGCCCGGGGTCTGCGAAGAAGAGACGGGCTCCCGCACCCACGCTCTCACACCCCACGTCTCTGCTTTTCTGGCTCTGCTGAGACTCGAACGACGAAGCCAGATTTCATCTTAACCTCAAGCTTCTACTTTAAAACACAATTTCGTTTTGGAGACAGGCTCTTACTGTCACCCAGGCTGGACTGCGGTGGCATTATACGGCTCACTGCAGCCTTGACCTCCTGGGCTCAAGAGATCCTCCTACCTCAGCCTCACAAGCAGCTGGGACCACAGGTGCTCACTACCATGCCCAACTAATTTTTGTATTTTTTTTTTTTTTTATAGAGATGAGGTTTCACCATGTTGCCCAGGCTGGTCTGGAACTCGGCTCAAGTGATCCACCTGCCTTGGCCTCCCAAAGTGCTGGGATTACAGGTATGAGCCACCGTGCCTGGCCACGAGCTTCTACTTTTTTTTGTTGTTGTTGAGATAGAGTCTCACTCTGTTGCCTAGGCTGGAGTGCAGTGGCGCAATCTCGGCTCACTGCAACCTCTACCTCCTGGGTTCAAGTGATTCTCCCGCTTCAGCCTCCTGAGTAGCTGGGATTACGGGCATGTGCCAACATGCTCAGCTAAATTTTGTATTTTTAGTAGAGACGGGGTCTCACCATGTTGGCCAGGCTGGTCTCAAACTCCTGGCCTCAAATGATCCACCCTTCTTGGCCTCCCAAAGTGCTGGGATTATAGGCGTGAGCCACTGCACCCGGTCACAAGCTTCTACTTCTTGCAGAATGCCTTTGTCACATGAAACCTAGTCCACGAGTGCTATGACACTTCCTGAAGTCTTGGGTGGGGTGAATGCACAAATCCTGGGAGTGTAGAGATTTGTGTTGTATTTAAAACGTCTCAAGGTTCAGCATTGACAGGCAATACCCAAATCACTCTAAGTTTTGTTTTGGGTCCTCTGACAATTGAGTTTCCATAATCTGGTCGGCTCAGAGACACCATCATGTGTGGTATATTCACAAATGCAGACAAAGAAAATTCTAGAAAGCCAGGGGTGAAAAAGCTCTCCTTTTTCAGACAATTCTGTGAAGTCTATGGGGCCAAGGAGAGAAGAACCAAACTTTCTCTGGGCCTTGGCCTCTTGGGGATCCCTTCTCTCATTTTCTAAAAACTGTTTCTCATACCAGGCTAAAGAGGTGGTAGGGAAGGTCTCCCTTCCCCTGCCCACCTCAGACAGTTCTAGGGAGGTGGAGGTTTTACCACTTGGCCACTAGTCTCAAATAACTGGAAGGCTCCTTTTTTCCTGAGGCCATGGAATGTCCTGGAACCACAGGCCTCCCCCCGACCCCTGCCCCCAGCCCTCCATGGGAGCACAGAGGGGCAGGCCTTGCTTGGGCTTCTCACCCTACAGCCACTTTTTTGGCTCAACTCTCAGGCAAGCCCTCATCACCATCAGGGTCTCATGGGCAGTCTGGATTTGCCAGCCCAGTCCTGGAACTTGGAGAGGGAGGTGGGGCCTGGAAATGCCTTGTCCCCAGGGGGGCACCTTGTCCTTGGAGCCAGCTGAGCCCTGTGCCCATGGCTGGGTTCAATTTGCAGGCACAGCTGTGGCACTCTTTGCTGGTGGGAATGGAAAGGCCTCGCTGGCCTTCTTTGCCTTTTTCTTCTTTTTCTTCTTTTGAGTCCCAAGCGACACCTGGTCCCCGCTGAGCTCACCTGACTTCTGCTTCTGGACTGTGGCTGTGCTGGTGGGGGTGGGGGTGGTGGTGGCTACAGCCGAGTCGACGCTGGTCACCTTCTTGGCTTTCTTTTTCAGCTTCCTTTTCTTCTTTACCTCCTTCTCCACCGTGCCAGGGCTGTGGATGGCTGACTCCTGCAGGATATCGGACGCCGACACAGCTGCCTCCCGGCACCGCCGCCACTCCTCATCACTATCCTCACTGCAGCAACGAGGGCACCCTGCGTTAGCTGGAGTCAGGACACAGCCCCAGAGCCGCCTCTCGCTGTCCTCCTTTGGTCCACGTCACCAGGAGGCAGCCGCAGAGGGAGGCCGGTAGCGAGTTCAGGCTTGGGAGTGGGGCCAACCTGGCTTCCAATACTGGCATCTGGGCGTAGCAGCCTTGTGACCTCCTTAAGTGACTTAACCTCTCTGACCATCAGTATCATCTATAAAACAGGGATCTTAACAGAGTGCAGGCCTCCCAGGGATGTCCCAGGAGGCAGCTATGATCAAGTGAGGTGTCTGGCCCAAGATGGGTGCTCAAAAGCAGTAAACATCTAAAGTCACCACCCAGAGGGCTTTCCCTCCCACTGAGAGCACGAGGTATCCAGCCGCCTGACAGGGTCGATGCCTCGGCCTGGTCCTGCCTGGAGTCTGCTTGGCTATTCTGGGGAACCCACCAAGACAGAAGAGGAGGAAAAAGGATGGGACGTGAGGAGAGGTGTGAGTTCTCACCTGGAGCTGGAGGGCTGTCGCTTTCGGCGGGGTTGGGGAGACTCTTCCTTCTCACAGCCTCCAGGGACAGACGTGAAGAAAAGGCGGAAACCTAAGATTCAAATGGGCAGAGTCAAACGAAAACAAAACGAAACAAAAAGAAAGATGAGAAACAAAAAAGGTAAACAAGAAAAGAAACAACAAAAAAAAATTTAAAAAAGAAACAAAAAGAAAAAATAAGAGAAACAAATAAAAATTTTAAAAAGACACAAATTAAAAAAATTTAAAAAAGAATAACAAGAAAAACCCAAACGAACAACAACAACAAAAAAATAAAAGGGGAAGAGTCAGCACCGCCAGATGCCAACCTCTCTTCCCAGGTGCCAGGTGCTGAGGCTGCCCCACCTCTGCCCTCAGGAGCTCCTGGTCCAGAGGCAAAGACCCGGGAATCAGTCGTCTAACTACAAAGTGATTCTGCATCTGCCAACAGTCATGCTGATGCCTGATGGAGCCAGTGGAGGGTGTGCTGGAGCGGAAGCCAGCAGCCACATCAGCTCAGCAAGCCCTCAGAGGCTTCTGGAAGTCAGCACTTGAGCTCCTGACCTAAGGCAGCCTTCAAAGTGGCAAATGTGTTGATACAGGACAGACGCAGATGGACAAGGCTGTGAGGGCAACAATAAAGTGCTCCTGCTCGGGGTGACACAGATGAGGCCACCTCAGGCAAATGACTTTGTTTCTCAGGGCCTCAGTCACCTTGTCCGTAAATGGGGTCTCATCATAATACCTGCCTCACCACAGGGCTGAGTGGATGAAAGAATGGTGCAGTAGGCTCATGCCTGTAACGCCAGTACTTTGGGAGTCTGAGGCGGGAGGATAGCTTGAGGCCAGGAGTTCAAGACCAGCCTGGGCAACATGGCTGAACCCTGTCTCTACAAAAAATAAAAAAATTAGCCAGGTGTGGTGGTGCATGCCTGTAGTCCCAGCACTTTGGAAGGCCAAGGTGGGCAGATCGCTTGAGGCCAGGAGTTCAAGACCAGCCTGGGCAACACAGCGAGATCCTGTCTCTGAAAAAAACAATAATTCGCCAGAGTTGGTGGTATGTGTCTATGGTCCCAGCTACTCAGGAAGCTGATGTGGGAGGATAGCTTGGGTCTGGGAGGTTGAGGCTGCATTGAGCTATAATCGCTCTACTGCACTCCAGGCAGAGCAAGGCCCTATCCAAAAAAAAGAATATACCAAAACTGTTTCGCCCAGCTGCAGACACACATTAGGTGCTTAATAAATGATAGCTTCTATTAAGTATAACCACTCACCATCATCCTCTGAAGCAACTTTCTGTACCTTAGCTTTTGTTGGCTCCTTTGCTGCTTCTGAGATGGTAATGAAGCTAAGGGGAGAGGAGATGGTTGATTTAAGATAAGATTTTTGGATAACAACAAAAACAATTAAAAAAAATTCTTTTTGAAGTGGAGGGGATAGAGCATGTGATAAAAAATGCAAAAGCAGAAAGCGTGCTGGCATAGTAAGAGGGTTGATGGTCTGATTATAATATGCTGACCAGCCTCTGCCACTCAAACTGCAGTGCTTCATTTGTTTAAAGCCCACTTTATTCCAGCAAGTGTTGAAGAAGTTTTAAAGACATAGTAGAACAAAATGAAAGCAATTTCAAATAGGGCAAAGAGATATAAGCACAAGAGGAACAGAAAGACCTAGAAGTGTGGTTAAGAAGTCCTACCCACTTGTTAGAGAGAAGGCATACATTTTGCTCTGAGCTTCCTAGCAGCAAGCATGAAAAGTGAAATATGACCAATCTAGAAAACTGATTCAGAGGACAGCTTCTGGGGCAGGGCAGACCTGTTTTAATTTTTTTTTTTTTGAGACAGAGTCTTCACTCTGTCTCCCAGGCTGGAGTGCAGTGGCACGATCTTGGCTCACTGCAAGCCCCGCCTCCCAGGTTCATGCCATTCTCCTGCCTCAGCCTCCCAAGTAGCTGGGACTATAGGCGCCTGCCACCACACCAGCTAATTTTTTGTATTTAGTAGAGATGGGGTTTCACCGTGTTAACCAGGATGGTCTCGATCTCCTGACCTTGTGATCTACCCACCTCGGCTTCCCAAAGTGCTGGAATTACAGGCTGAGCCACCGTGCCTGTCTACATTTTTTTTTTTAATTAAAAAAGTTGGAGATAATTGTAGACATGCAGTAGCAACAAATAATGCAGAGGTTCCACAGACCCTCCACCCATTTTCTCGCAATGGTAACACTGTGCCTCACTATAGCACAATATCACAACCAGGAAATGGAAATTGATCCAATTCATGGACCTCATTCAGACTTCAGAGACCTGAGTTTTGAATCCTGGTTTTATCACTTATTAGCTGTGTCCCTTAAGTGAACAACTTTACATCTCTGAGCCTCTGTTATCCACCTGTGCAGTGGGAACGATGAAGGTCCCTACCTCTTAAGGTTGTCACAAGGATTGAAGGGGAAAATGGATATCAAGCACTTGTGGCACACAGCCTGGCCACAAATACCTGCTCAGTAAATGGTAGCTATGATGATGATGCAGATGATGACTGTCATCAAGAAAAGCTTTGGGCCGGGCGCGGTGGCTCAAGCCTGTAATCCCAGCACTTTGGGAGGCCGAGACGGGCGGATCACAAGGTCAGGAGATCGAGACCATCCTGGCTAACCTGGTGAAACCTCGTCTCTACTAAAAAATACAAAAAACTAGCTGGGCGAGGTGGCGGGCGCCTGTAGTCCCAGCTACTCAGGAGGCTGAGGCAGGAGAATAGCATAAACCCGGGAGGCGGAGGTTGCAGTGAGCTGAGATCTGGCCACTGCACTCCAGTCTGGGCAACAGAGCGAGACTCTGTCTCAAAAAAAAAAAAACAGCTTTGGCCTTCACAGGATCTCTAACATAAAAATAAACCACATTTCTCTAGAGACACAAGGCCGGAAGCATGTCTCTGGCGAGTGCAGATGGAGATGTCACTGTGCACCGCGGAGAACAAGGCTCTCAGCAATGCCCTCAAGGCAGACGCACCAATGCCCTGGGTGCTTTCCCTAACCTCCCTTCCCGTATGCCAAGGCGCCCCCCCAAGTCCTGTTCAGGAAAAGCAACCTGGGGAGAGGGAGTAGAGATGATGCCACTCAGGCACCTGTTCTTGACCCCACACAGTGGTTCCATGGTGGCCACCAGGAGCATTTGGCAATGTCTGGAGACATTTTTGGATGTCACAACTGGTGGCGTCAGTACTACTATCATCAAGTAGGTAGAAGCCAGGGATGTTGGTAGAAGCCAGGGATGTTGGTAGAAGCCAGGGATGTTGGTAAACATCCTATAATGGGAAGAAGGATAGACCCCCCACAACAAATGCTAGTCAAAGATGTCAACAGTGCCAAGGTTGAGAGACACTGACTTAACACAAGGGACCAAATGCAGTATCATTTACATCTTTTTTTTTTTTTTTTTTGAGATGGGGTCTCGCTCTGTTGCCCAGGCTGGAGTGCAGTGGCGTGATCTCAGCTCACTGCAACCTCTGCATCCTGGGTTCAAGCAATTCTCCTACCTCAGCCTCTCAAGTAGCTGGGATAACAGGTGTACGCCACCATGAACGGCTAATTTTTGTATTTGTAGTGGAGATGGGGTCTCACCATGTTGGCCAGGCTGTTCTCCAACTCCTGTCCTCAAATAATCCGCCTGCTTCGGCCTCCGAAAGTGCTGGGATTAGAGGCATGAGCCGCCACGCCTAGCCTAAGGTATCATTTAGATTTCTTTGGAGAAACATGAAAACGCTGCAGAGGATATTCTAACCATGGCTGGCTGGCATTTCTACTGCAGAAACATCTCTGTGGCTCGAGCAATGCCAAGCAGGCCCTGTTCAGCCTGAAGCCACAGAGTCACAAGAAAAACTGTGCTCCCACAGGCTGAAATGCAGCTGCCTTCCTAAACACCTCCCCTACATTCTTCAATTGAGGGGAACCCTGTGGGGTTCAGGCTGCGGGGCTCTGACCCATTATTCTGTCTCAGGAGAATAGCTGGTTCACACTTTGGGAAGGCTCATTTGTCCTTTTTGATATCTACTTCGACTGGAATGCCAATGGCCCCAAATCCTGCCTCATCTCCCTTCCAGGGCTCTGCCAGTCAGGAACGGATCTAGCCCAGTGTATCTCAAGACCCGTTCCATAGGTTGTTGACTAGTCTTCCATGAAACAAAGGCACTGTGGCCAAACAAGTTTGGAAAATGCTGGGCTAAACAGTTACACAGGTCTCTTCACTACAGGAGTTCTCAGAGCCTCGAATATACTACTGTGGCTTGTAGTCTGCAAGGACACGTGGAGGTATGTAGATTGAGTGTTTCTCACACTTCTTTGCTGTTGGACCTCCTTTTTTCTAGAGCCACGCTTTGGGCTAGTGCTAGAATCCAAATGTTTGTGTCCTCCCCAAATTCTTATGGTGAAATCCTCACCCCAGCTGGGCATAGAGGCTCACACCTGTAATCCCAGCACTTTGGGAGGCCAAGCCGGCTGGATCACTTGAAATCAGGAGTTCGAGACCAGCCTGGCCAACATGATGAAAACCCATTCCTACTAAAAATAGAAAAAATACAAAAAATTAGCCAAGCGTGGTGGGCGCGCACCTGTAATCCCAGCTACTCAGGAGGCTGAGGCATGAAAATCGCTTGAACCCAGGAAGTGGAGGTTGCTGTGAGCCGAGATCGCGCCACTGTGCTCTAGAGGGAGACTCTGTCTCCAGAAAAAGAAAAGAAAAAAAGAAATCCTCAACCCAGCGTATTAGGTTTAGGAGATGGGGGCCTTTGAGAGGTGATTAGGTCGTGAGGGTGGAGCCTTTATGAATGAAATTGGTGCTCCTATAAAAAAGGCCTGAGAGAGACCCCTCGCCTGTTCCACTATGTGAGGACGCAGTGGAAAGGCGCCATCTGTACTGGGAAGAGGGCTCTCCCCAGATGCTGAATCTGCTGGTGCCTTGATCTTGGACTTCTCAGCCTCTAAAATGTGAGAAATCCATTTATTTTGTTTACAAGCTACCCAGTTTATGTTATTTTGTTATAGCAGCCCATATGGACTCAAACAGGTTGTATTCCTTGACACCTACTTTAAGAATGCCAACCTGTGTCCTTACCGACTGGGTGACCAACCTGTGTTGAGAATGTAAGACAGAGCCCGGGCACTGTGCCTCGCACCCAGAAGGCACCCAAGAAATAGGAATGTGGCCCTTCCTTGCCCTCTTGTGGCGGGAATGAGCTTCTCGCTGTTCCCCTCTTACTCTCATGGTTGCAGGATAATGCAGGGGTTAAGAACATGGGCTTGGCCAGGCACAGTGGCTCACACCTGTAATCCCAGTACTTTGGGAGGCCAGGGTGGGCGGATCACTTGAGGTCAGGAGTTTGAGATCAGCCTAGCCAACATGGTGAAACCCCATCTCTACTAAAAATTCAAAAATTAGCCTGGTGTGGTGGTGGGTGCCTGTAATCCCAGCTACTCGGGAGGCTGAGGCTTGAGAATCGCTTGAACCCAGGAGGTGGAGGCTGCAGTGAGCCAAGATTGGGTGCCACTGCACTCCAGCATGGGCAACAGAGCGAGACTCCACCTCAAAAAACAAAACAAAACAAAAAATCATGGGCTTGGAGTCAGACACATTTGGGTTTGAGGCCCAATTCTGCTCCCTCCTGGGTTCCGAATTCTGGCTTTGTCACTTAGTAGCAGTGTCCCTGGGCAAATGACTTTGCCTCTCTGAGCCTCAGTTACCCATCTGTACAGTGGGAATGATAAGAGTCCCTACCTCTTAGGGTCATAACAAGGATTAAATGAGAAAATGGACATCAAGCACTTAGCACAGAGTATGACCACAAACAGTTGCTCAGTAAACGGTAGCTATGACGATGATGTGACTTTAAGCAAACATATCTCCTTGCTGATAGCCTGTTTCCTCACCTGGAGAATAAAGGTAACAGCAGGACCCACATGATAATGTTGTTTATGAATGCAGGGAGGTGACATATGCCAGATGCCTGCCACCGTGCCTGCTTGGACACCGTGAGCTCCCAGCCAATGTGAGCCATTGCTGTTTGTATTAACGAGGGCAGGAGAGGAGAAACTCCACCTTTATTTACCTGTCCAGCAGGGCTCCCAGCTTCTTGGCTACGTGGGCTCGGAATTCAGGGGTGGTCTGAAGCTCGTTGCCATCTTGTTCATGCTCATCCACCTTATGCCTATGACACACACAAAGAGACCTCACTTCCTGCCCGCTCAGAAGCTGTCCCCATGAGCGCAGGGACCATGTCTGTCTTGTTCACCTGGAAATGCCAGCTGTGTAGCCTAGCATCTGGCACACGCAGGGGATCAGTATTTGTTGAATGAATAAGTGAAACTTGAACTCAAAGTGCATAGTACCTGAGGCTCGGTTGGGAGGTTGACAACTGGTTATTTGCAGCACCTGTGGAAAAACAAAAATTGGGGCATTTATAGAGGAAACAATGACAGCAACAACAAACGCGTGCCAGGCACTATTTTCAGCAGCTTAAAATACATATAACTCATATATATACATACATATGTAACTCATATATATCTATATATAACTTAAAATAGTTATATACCCATAACTTAAAATAGTTACATATATAATTTATATATGTATATAATACAGTTACATATTTTATGTAAGTACATTTTATATAGTTATATATATAACTTAGTTATATAACTTAAAATAGTTATATATATAACTTAGTTATCTATACATAAAACTTAAAATATATATGTAACCTAAAATATATATAACACATATAACTCAGTGAATCTTCCCAACAACCTGATTGGAGGGGCTACCATTATCCCATTTTGCAGAAGAAAGAGATGTAAAATAACTTGGCCAGAGTCAACTACCTAATAAGTGACAGAGTTGGGCTGAGGGCCCAGGCCATCTGACTCCTGAGCCCCCTCTTAACCACCACGCTATGCTGAACAGGCAGGTCTAAGTGTGATTTGACTGCACAATTTAATGCCCACCTGGCTGTGTGCTAAGTGCAGGGGAAGAGAGAGAAGGTGGCTCTTTTGTGGATCACATTTTTCAAGCCAAAATAGTGGGGTTGCCTGGCCTTTTGGTCATTCCCTCAAACCAGATACTGAATGCCTTTTATTAACCAGGTGTTGTCACTGCTGAGCAACTTACTCGAATATCGCTGTCGCATGGAGCTTACATTCTAGTTGGTAGAGAGAGATGATAAACACACATACATAAACAAAATGTAAATTTGGATAATGGTAAGTGTATGGAAAAAAATAGAAACAGGGGAGGGAGGTGGGGAGTGCTGGGCTGGGGATTGTTATATAAAGGTGGGCAGAGAGGGCTTCATTGATAAGGTAACATTTGAACAGAGATTTGAGAGAGGAGAGAGAGTGAACCAAGTGGGCATGTGGGACACAGCCTTCCAGGCAGAGGGAAAGCATCTGCAAAGGCCCTAAGACTGGAGCTTGGCTTGTGTGTTTAGAACCAGCAAGGAGGTCAGTGTGACCAGAGCCCACCCAGTAAACCGAGAGCAGCAGAGATGGAGAACTCAGGGGGAGCCAGATCATGAAGGGCCCTGACGTGGGCCAATGGGAGGACCTGGGCTTTGAGGAGGAGGAGCTCTGGAACTGAGCAGAGGAAGGACATAAACTGGCCTGGGTTTTGATAGAGCATCTCTGGCTGCTGTGTGGCACGAGACTGTTGGGACAAAGGCAGGAACACGGAGTCTGCTGCAGTAATTGAGGTGGTGAGAAGTGGCTAGACTCCAGATAGATACACTTTTAAGATGGAGTCAAGGCCGGGCGCGGCGGCTCACGCCTATAATCCCAGCACTTTGGGAGGCTGAGGCAGGTGGATCACGAGGTCAAGAGATTGAGACTATCCTGGCCAACATGGTGAAACCCCATTTCTACTAAAAATATAAAAATTAGCTGGGTGTGGTCGTGCACACCTGTAGTCCCAGCTACTTGGGAGGCTGAGGCAGAAGAATCACTTGAACCCAGGAGCTGGAGGTTGCAGTGAGCCGAGATCATGCCACTGCACTCCAGCCTGGCGACAGAGTGAGACTCCGTCTAAAATAAATAAATAAATAAATAAATAAATAAATAAATAAATAAATAAATAGATGGAGTCAATAGGATTCACTGACAGACTGACTACAGGGCACGAGAAACGAGTGAAAGTTAGCTCTGAGGTTTCTGACTTAACTAACAAGACAAAACATGCTTGTATATTTAAGGGGCCAACTGAACAAAGTGGACACTTGGTAGCTCCGGGCCCAGTGGAGGGCCATGGTGTATGAAATTGCTCCATGGGGGCACTGCTGTGTTTATGTCATCACCTATACACGTTGCATCTGTGTCCTAGGACCTTGTGGTCTATGTCACTGTACCCCAGAGCACAACACAGAATGCTAAACATGCCCCATGCTCCTGGAGGTGGGTAATGTGGGGGCCTGGATGGACAGTCTTTAAAGACCTGGTCTTTCGTCTTTAGCACATAATCACATGGAAGAAGAGCATCCCTTCCATCATGACTACAGTGTGATGAAGGTGAGGTACCATCAGCGAACAGAAACAGTTACTGCAGAGGGAGACAGTTCAGTTGAGTCCTGGCTGTGCCACCAAGCTGTGTGATGCTGGGCAAGTCACTTTATCTCCCTCAGTCTTTGTTTTCTCATCTATAAAATAGGAATACGATCACCAACCTTCTGGAGGTAGTGTTGGAGACACTGTTTCCATGCCCATCTCCTTCCTGGATTTGTAAGCTACTTGAATATATGGTCTGCCTCTTTTTATCTTTGTATCCCCGGATCCTGCCATAGTATCTTGGTTTGAATTAATTGTTGGAAAAATAAATCAAAGTACATGCTACCCTAAAATTAAAGTGGTTTGAGTGACAAGTTCATCACTGGATTTAAGAGCTATCTCTAGAGGTTACATAAATAAAATAGTGACCTATATTTCCACATAGTCATGGACCAAAGGGTGGGAGTTCTGACCACAATAGACACTTGTCCATGGCAGAGTGGCACAGCAGCAATGAAGAGCATGGACTTGGAGTCAGGTAGGCCTGGATTTATACCTGGCTCTGCCACTTACAAAGTGGACAACCTTGGCCAAGTTACTTCACCATTATGAGCATCAGTTTTCTGTAAAATGGGGCTAATATACCCTTTTGTGGCATTGCTGGGAAGATGAAAACAGACAACAAAGTGTTTAGAACAGGGGCAAAAAGTAATTTCTCAACTCCTGGTGGCTATGACCAGACGCACTCAAGAATGTAATCTAGGCTGGATGCGGTGGCTTATGCCTGTAATCCCAGCACTTTGGGAGGCCAAGGTGGGCGGATCACCCGAGGTCATAAGTTCGAGACCAGCCTGGCCAACATGGTGAAACCCTGTCTCTAATAAAAATACAAAAAAAATTAGCTGGGCCTGGTAGCAGGTGCCTGTAATCCCAGCTACTCAGGAGGCTGAGGCAGGAGAATTGCTTGAGCCTGGGAGGCAGAGGTTGCAGGGAACCAAGACTGTGCCATTGCACTCCAGCCTTGGTAACAGAGCAAGACTTCATCTCAAAAATAAATAAATAAATAAATAAAGACCAGGTGCGGTGGCTCCCACCTGTAATCCCAGCATTTTGGGAGGCCGAGGCGGGTGGATTGCCTGAGGTCAGGAGTTCAAGACCAGCTGGCCAACATAGTGAAACCCTGTCTGTACTAAAAATACAAAAAATTAGCTGGGCATGGTGGCAGGCGCCTGTAATCCCAGTTGCTAGGGAGGCTGAGGCATGAGAATCACTTGAATCCAGGAGGCAGAGGTTGCAGTGAGCTGAGATCGTGCCACTGCACTCTAGCCTGGGCAACGAGAGTGAAACTCCATCTCAAAAAAAAAAACCAAAAAACTAGAAGCACAGGCACTCACACACCTGTAATCTCAGCACTCTGAAGGTCGAGAAGGGAGAATCACTTGAGCCCAGGAGTTCGAGACCAGCCTGGGCAACATGGCAAAACCCCATCTCTACAGAAAATTAAAAAAGTACCTGGGACTACACATCTGTAGTCGCAGCTACTTGGGAGGCTGAGGTGGGAGGATCATCTGAGCAGGGGGAGGTCGAGGTTGCAGTGACCCATGATTGTGTCAGCCTGGGTAACAGACTGAGACCCAGTCTTGAAAAAAAAAAAAAAAAAAAGAGCAAGAATTAGGCAGGAGGAGGAAAGCAGTCCATGTGGAAAGACCAACCACATATTTGCCACCATGTATTGGGCCTTTAAGATGTGCCAAGCACTGTAGATTGCATTATCTCATTTACTTCTCAACCTTATGGGGTGGGTACTACCACTACCCGCACTGTAATTTGAGGGAATTTAGGTACAGTGAGATTTAAGTACTTTGCTCAAGTTCCCACTGCTAATGAGTGAGATGGAAACTTGCAGAGAAAACTGTGGTTATGGTACTAGGGGGTGAAGGGGGCAGACTATGATCTGGAAGCTACCTACAGGAAGTGCAGTATGGCAGGAGGGAAGGAAGGGAGAGGAAGGCAATAAATGGATCACCAAAGGGCTTGTAAGTCCTTTTAAACAAATGCAGCGGTTCTTAACCTTGCTTTGCCATAGCCTTCTCTAACAGCCTGGTGAAGCCTGGTTCTCTTCTCAGAGTAATGTTTTAAATGCATGAAATGCAACATATAGGATTACAAAGAAAACCAATGATACTGAAATTTAATTATCATGATAGTAAACAACCAAACTTGTGATATATGCTCTTCTTACATCTTAGATCTAGAGATGGGTCTAAAAATTAGAGTGGCACATTTTTTAAATCAGGGATGAGTGTAAATGACTTTTTCCCAATATCTATCTTATTATCAATAAAATGATATATTGATATCTGTATCTGCAAAGATCATAATGAGATATGAAAATCTGTGATTTCTGTTGGGATAAAGTAACGGTATTGCCAGAACTACTGTGGCTTAGTGCTTGCATGATGGAAAGAGACTATAAAGTTCAGTCAGAAGAGAATGGAAAGCAAAGATGCAACATTTTTTCATTCCAGATTCAAGAACCCTTGCGTTCTTGAATTAGGCCCCTTGATGTTGAGGGGGTCTGTATTTATTCCCAGGGGACTAGGGAGTCACGGTCAGAGTGATGTGCTGAGCACTGCTCTTGGCAACCTCAAGGGTGGGAGAATGATGTGTTGGAGGTGGGGAAAGGCTGGGCGCGAGAATGCCGGGAGGGGGCTGTTGCAGTCACCTCGAAGAGAGGGCGGCCTTCCCAGTGTGGGGCAGTGAGGACAGATCCAAGGAAGCAGAATCAAATGACATTTGGGTACCTCAGTTTCCCCGACTGGGAAAACGAAATACCCTCCCTACTGCACCTGCCCATGCTTTCAATCAGCACTACATCCAGTCCCTGGAGCTCTCTCGGGGAAGGAAGTCGAGTCCCAGTGACTCCCTCCTCACCATTCATCCTCTCAGGCTCCAGGGGAAGATCCCACGCCCCTCAGCCAGTCTCCCCAAACATAGTACCCTACCGGCTCTTGGCTTTACTGCCCCGTGCGGGCGTTGCTCCAAACCCCAGGCCGGCATTGCCGCCTCGCGGCACCGCTCCAGCTCCTCCGCATCGCTACTGCTGCTGCTGCTTTCCGAATCGCTCATAGTGCCACTGGGCGCCGCCATCTTGAACCACCGCAAAGGATTGTGGAGAACACCGCCGTTATCAGCCCTCCCGCACGACCTCACGTGAGAGGAGAGGCGCGAGGCATTGTGGGGATTGTAGTTCCAAGACTCGGACTGCCAATGGCCTTGAACTGTACTGGCTTGGGGATACCAGGTGGGAATGGGGAGGTGGGCGGTTCTCAAACGCAAGAGCTAGAAGGGCCTAAGAGATTAACTTCTCTGGCCGGGCACGGTGGCTCAAGCCTGTAATCCCAGCACTTTGGGAGGCCGAGACGGGCGGATCACGAGGTCAGGAGATCGAGACCATCCTGGCTAACACGGTGAAACCCCGTCTCTACTAAAAAATACAAAAAACTAGCCGGGCGTGGTTCTTAAAAAGAGATTAACTTCTCCAATCTTTTCTTGATGAAGAGATTTCCAGAGGGGAAGGGAATCTCCTAAGGAGCTAATGACAGAACCAGGATTAGTTCCCAGGTTTTGATTTGATGTCATTTATTCTAGTAATTTCTCAGTCCAGCTGGGCCTAAGAAACACCTTAGAGAGCCGGGGATGAACAAAATCACTTTATTTTTGTCTGTGGAATGCTGTTTCATGTTTTATCTTTGAAGACAGGTATGTCAAAATTTTACTAAAATAAACTCTCTGGCCTTGAGCTTTTCTATTTCAAAAAAGAGGAAGGTGACTGATATGGTCTGAATGTTTGTATTCCTCCAAAATTCATGTGTTAAAATTGGCACCCTAAAATAAACAATAGAGAGACTGACTCTCCAAAATAAAGCATTTTTTCAAGAATTGCAAGGAATTGCAATTTGAGATATGCATGCTATCGTGGACTATAGGCACATTAAAAGAGGTTGTGGCAAGGAGAAAAGACAAAGAAAAAGTCCACATAAGCTTCTTTGAAACAAGTACCATTGATTACAGGAGCCTGTTGCAGGTGCTAGTGTTAGCTTATTGTGGAGACACCCACTATTAGGCACATATCCTTGTGCAAGTGGCTTATCTATAATCCTGTGGTTTTGAGGAACTTTTTTTTTTTTTGAGACGGAGTCTTGCTCAGTCGCCCAGGCTGGAGTGCAGTGGCGTGATCTCGGCTCACTGCAAGCTCTGTCTCTCGGCTTCACGCCATTCTCCTGCCTCAACCTCCCGACTAGCTGGGACTACAGGCGTGTGCCACCATGCCTGGCTAATTTTTTTGTATTTTTAGTAGAGATGTGGTTTCACCATGTTAGCCAGGGTGGTCTCCATCTCCTGACCTCATGATCCACCCGCCTTGGCCTCCCAAAGTGCTGGGATTACAGGCGTGAGCCACTGCGCCTGGCCTGAGGAACTTGTTGAGATAATTTCTGTGACAGGCATTTGTTAGGGTTTGACATAAGTGACTCCATTTTGATACTGATAACTTCCAAAAAGTCCTCACTCCCAAGGTGATGGTATTAGGAAGTGGGACCTTTGGGAAGTATTTAGTGAAAGGGTCTCGTATTGGTTTGAACCCTGAGAGTGTGCCAACACACAACACGAGGCAGTGTGGAGCAACACACTCTTTTTATGAGCACCTGTGTGCAGGTGGGCTGAGGCTTAAAATGGCGTCTGCACCACATGAGGACGGGGCAGGGGTTTTAGAGTCTCCTGTAAACAGGAAGTGTCTCAGTCTGACGTGACTGCTACACAGTACCCGGACGGCCTCTCTCTCAGTCCTCAGGGGGTACGTGTCTTCCAGCCAGCTCTCTTCCTGTTTCTGATGTCTTGCTGATGCATGCTGCTGGCGCAAGTGGCCTTGTGCTTTGGGACTGAACCCAAGGAGGGAGGAGTTGTTCATTCTCTTAAGCTTTCAGGCCCCAGGGAGAATCTTTCAATTACGTAATGGGGCCTGAGCCCTCATGAACTGGATCAAGGCCCTCATAAAAGAGACCCCAGAGACACCTTTGCTCCTTCCACCATGTGAATACTCAGTGAGAAGCTGCCATCTATAAATCAGGAAAAGGCCCTTACCAGACACCAAATCTGCCAGCGTCTTGGCTTGGACTTCCCAGCCTCCAGAGCTGTAAGAAATAAATGCTTATTGTTTATGAGCCATCCAGTGTATGGTATTTTGTTTTAGTAGCCCAAGTGGACTAAGACTTTGAATTTTTCATTCTTTTTTTTATTTTAAACAAGAATTTTCCCACCACCTACAAAGTGGGCTGTGCTGGGCATTATGAAGGACACAAAGCTGGGGACTGGAACAGCCTGTCTGCCTCCTGGAAAGGAGGCACTTTTTCTGTCCCTGAAGGCAGAGGTGGGAAATACACAGATTATGATTGCTAAATTGACCAGAGGCTATTGATAACCAATTGAAATGTGCATTTTCTACGCTATGGTAGGTGAGTAGCCCACCAGAAAGCTAGGCAAAACGGGAGGGCAAAAAGAAACATTTTATTGCTTGGAATAAACCTGATCACATGACATCCTTTGATAATAAAGATGCTATCATTTTCCTACACTTTCCTGACTATTATGTACTGTTTGTGTATGGGTTTTAGGAGTTGAGGTGATTTTTTTTACACTGTATCATCCTCAGTCTCCCATTCTTTGTCTCTTTTTGCCTCAGTTTCCCCAGTCCTCATTTCTTAAGAGTTGAGAAGCTCAAATGATCAAGCAATAACCATTAGGACAGCATTAGGCCCTGTGGAAATAAAGAGCACCCAAATGAGAACTAACAAAGGCTATTTATTCTCAACTTGCTGTAGCAAAGGAACCAGCCACCATCTCTTGCTTTTGACAGAGATTTAAAGACAGGCAGGAAAATGGGAAGGCTTCAGGGGTACCCTGATTGAGGCTGTTGGTATGGGGAAGTTGGAAGCGCACTGACCAGAAGAGGGCTCACCATGGGATTGGTCTGGGGAGCTTATTTGGGTTTCTTGGGTTGGTCATAAATAGGAAGCAGGATGGGAGTGGGGGCAAGGGGCGGGGAATTAGAGAAGCTGCCAGTTATTGCCCTGATGGTTTGGGGTTGATTGCTAAAGAAGGTTGTGGGTCAGAGTTCTGTCGTTGTACGTCATGTGGCCACTGTCTATTTGTATATTTAGTCTCTCACACCCCTCCTCATCCTCCTCCTGGCAGGGCTGGGATAATTCTTTTTTTAAACAGATTTACTTATTTTTATGTTTTAGTTTTTAGACACAGGGTCTTGCTCTGCTGCCTGGGCAGGAGTGTAGTGGCGTGATCATAGCTCACTGCAGCTTCAACCTCCTGGCTCAAGCGATTCTTCTGCCTCAGCTTCTCGAGTACCTAAGACTACAAACGTGCACGACCACACCCAGTGAATTATTTTTTATTTTGTAGAGACGGGGTCTGCCTATGATACCCAGGCTGGTCTTGAGTTCCTTGGCTCAAGCGCTGCTCCCACCTTGGCCTCCCAAAGTTCTGGGAGTACAAGTGTGAGCTACCATATCCGGCCTGGGATAACTCATTATAAAGCTGGTGAGACCTGGGACCTTCCCAGTAGACAATGGGACAGAGTGACTGACAGGATGAGTTCTGGAGTACATGGCAGAAATGTACACAGAAGTTTCCCAGAGAAAACTAACTGGATGGAAACAGAGCCTCTCCCTCTTTCTTCTTAGAGAGGATGAGAGTGTCACTGTCTTGGATGCCGTAGCTCCCCAGACCCAACCAGTCCTGCAGGACTTGGCCTTGGAATTCTAGCTGCTGCTGCTTTTTAGGAAGCCCCTGCTGGTCTTCAATCTGCTGCTTCAGACCCAGGATGAAGCTGTTGGGGTGGATGGCATAGGCGTGGCTCCCACCATCAGGATTCTTCACGAAGACCTGGATCTCGGTGGGGATGGTCTCCAGCAGATAGATGTGAGTGTGGGAGAAGATCCCATATTGGGCTAAGGAGCATCTGCTGCTGAGAAGCTTCCTCTCACTGCCAGGAACCTGGAAGGACAGACGCTGCAGGCCAGAGTAGCCCCTCGTCCTCCGGATTTTCTCTTTAACTTTCCTTATGGGCTCATAAGGGTTCACAATGAGGTTGAAATCTGGGTAACCCCTCTGCTCCACTGTCACATGGATGTCTCGTGCCCTCTGGAAGGGAGAGGGAGAAGGAGAGGTGTTAAGTCCACACTTCTCTGTCTGATGTGCAAATGTTCCCTTCATCTGTCCTTATCTTTACAATAGTAGCAGCAGCAGCAGCAAATGTGTAGGGAGTGGTAAGCACCTTCCAGGCTGTATACTGAGCACCTTCCATACCCTTAATGCATTTTATTCTCAGAGCATCTCTATTAGTTGGTGGGTTCTACGGTTATCCCCATGCTATTGATGAGGAAACTGTCTGAGCAGGGTTAAATAATTTGCTGAACACCAATCACATAGGTAGTAATGAGTAGAGCAGATATGTGAAGTGAGGTCAGTCAGACTCCAGAGTCTGTGTTCTCATCACCTCCAGAGGCTACACTCCAGGGCCTGAGAGCCCCCGGTGGCTGGAGAGCACCTGGAAAATGCTGGAGAGGGTCAGGCCTTTAGCTGATTCTTTCCAGAAGAAATATAAGCCTTGGCCGGGTGCAGTGGCTCACACCTGTATTCCCAGCACTTTGGGAGGCTGAGGGCAGATCACTTGAGGTCAGGAGTTTGAGACCAGCCTGGTCAACATGGCAAAACCCATCTCTACTAAAAAATGCAAAAATTAGCCGGGTGTGGTGGCGTATGCTTGTTGTCCCAGCTACTCAGAAGGCTGAAGTGGGAGAATCTCTTGAACCCAGGAGGTGGAGGTTGCAGTGAGCTGAGATCGTGCCACTGCACTCCAGCCTGGGCAACAGAGGGAGACTCTGTCTCAAAAGGAAAAAAAAAAAAGAAAGAAAGAAATATAAGCCTGGCATTGCCAAGTTTTCTGATTTGTCAAGATAAAAAATCTTTGCACAATGTTTTCTGTGTTTGTTTTGTGTTTTGAGACAGGGCCTTGCTCTGTCACCCCAGGCTGCAGTATGCAGTGGTGCAATATTAACTCACTGCAGCCTTGGCCTCCCAAGCTCAAGCAATCCTCCCACCTCAGCCT